AAAAAAAAAAAAAAAAAAAGCCCAAACAGGGGCCAGCACTTGGTGTGGTGGTTGTACTGGACTCCACATGGCTGACTGTGGTTCGAATCCTGGACCCGGCAGCTTGAGTCACAATCTATGTGCATGTGTGTGCATGCCCAGAATCCCAAGAAGAGCATGGAGGAGAGGGAATCATGGCATGGTTGTCCCCCCAGGGGGTGATTTCACTTTCTGCCTATCTCTCTGGCAAATGCACATGCCCTTTAGCAAAAATCTCTTTAAAAAAAAAGCCTAAATAAGGCAACCAAGAGGCCCTGCTCTCCCTGACCCTACCTGCCAACCTCAGCCTCGGGTCCACAGTTTTGAGGAGTTAGGGCCCTGATGTTGTCCTGACCCATGTGTTCTAACCCCTCCTCAAGTAAAACCCAATACGGATAATAACTAAGGGACTAAGTAAAGGACAGGGCCCAGGCTACTTGTCCCCTCCTCCCTCCACTGATGACACTGAGGACCTGGCTGGGTCCTCGGAGTGACTGGGTGACAAGGGGCAAAGTGCAACCTCAAGAGAACAGAGTGTCCAGGCAGTTAGTACTGAGTCCCCACCCCCACCTCAGCCAAGGTACCCAGCAGCCCTAGGAGAGAGGGATAGGGCAACCCTCTCCCCCAGACCCCCCAGCCTTCACCCTGCAGGCATTGTGCTAGTTTGTAGCTCCTCATCCCCCCACTACCCACCTCTACTTGTAAGAAAAGGCAGGATACGGGGGACAGGGCTGGAGTGGTTTATATAAGCTGCAGGTGTCTGGGTCACAGGGACAACCCCCACCTTCCAGGAGGCCCTGAAGGAAGTTCTGTGTTCTGGAGAGCTCCCTGGGGGGTCAGGCTTGTTCTAAGTAGCAGCTGGATTTCACCAGAGCCTCTCAGAGTGTAGTAAAGGCAGGGGTCAGGCCTCTGGGGGCAGCAAGGAGGGCATGGCGTGAAGGATCAGCGGGCCCCATGGCAGCTGGCTTGTTCCTGCAGCTGGCCCTGGGCCCATCTTCCCTGGCCTCCCAAGGCCAGAGGCCCCACCCAGATATCCAGGGTCCTCAGGTGTGCGAGCCTCTGGGGCCAGGGGAAAGAGGTGACAGGGGAGGGGAGCATGAGGCCTCACATCTTCCCCACCCTCCTGTCAGCAGGTTCGGAAAAACACTCGAGACAGATGTGGTCTTTTCTTTTATTATTTGGGGTTCTTCTGCATGGAAACAAGGGACTTCCCCACCCCACTCCCGGGCGCCTCTGGCACCCTCATAACAGCCGTCCCTGAAGAGTCCCCTTTAAAATCACCAATATAAAAAATGAGGGAGGAGGGAAGGCCTGACTATTCTCCGGGCTGAGCGGAACTGGGGAGGGGCAGGCTTTGGCGCAGAGAGGGGCTTTGGCTTCTGTGCAAGAAGGCACAGGGGTTCCCAGCCCCGGGGAGCTCGACCAGCCAGGACTAGGCTCCACACACGCAGACAGCTGACAGTGCGGAGTTAGTGGTTATACAGTCTGCAGGTGAGGCCGGGTGGGTAGGGCTGGGTGGGTGGCCTCTGGAGTGAGGGGAGGGGACACATCAGGATGCTGGGGAGGCCTGGGGCTTTCAGGTCCCCCTGGACCCCACCCTCCCTGAGGCAGGAATAAGCAAAAGCCACCTTCCTGGTTTGGCAATGAGAGAGCCAGAGGAGCCCATCCAGAGCATTCGGTTGGCATGGGCAGGGAGGGTCAGGCAGCTCTGTCCATAGCAGACGAGGTGGCAGCTGGGAAGAAAGGACAGGAGGACGAGGCCACCTCCCTGCTCCTAGGAAGGCACTTGCAGCTGAGATGACCTGATGCGGCGTGGCAGGAAGGTGTGGCATGGCGTGGCATGGCAGATAGTAGAGGAGAGGGGCACAGCGGGGGCCTGAGCCCCCACCTCATGCAAACATGGTCAGCTGTAACCACTGCAGGGTGGGCAGAGGGCAGGCAGGTTGGCCAGGACAGAAACAACTGCTCAGCTTCCACAGTCTTCCCCCTCACCCAAACCCCAAGTCCAACCCTGGCCCCCCTGAAGAGACCCTCACTGGGGGCCCTACTCTCTACATCTTCTGCCTATGGGAGAACAGCTGCCAGCTCCCCCAGAGGCCCCCAGGGGCCTGGGCTTCCCTCCTGCAGCCTTCCCAGAACTCAGACACCCCCTCCCTCCACCAGCCTCCCAGGAGTCAGGTGGCCTGTTTTTTAGAGCTGCTTCTGAGGCCAAGAAGGGACAGGAGGACGCTGGTCACACAGGAAAACTCAACTACCTCAAACTTTACCCCCACAAAGGGCCCAGAAGGTTCCTACCTTAAACAAGTCAAAGGTCACGACTCCATCCAGATCTGTGTCCAGAGTTTTGAAAAACCCTGTGTGTTCAAGAAAAGAGGACGTGGGCCTGAGAACTCCCTGGGACATTCCGCAAGGCCAGAACCAGCCCCGCTTCCTGGCCGACCTCTGTCCCATAGCACCCCAAGCTGTCACCCTTTGAAGCCAGGAAGTGACTTTCCCTGAGAAGAGCTCTCTCAAGCCCATCTCCTCCCCCCTGCTCTAGCATTCAGCCTCCAGATGACAGAGCACAGAACCCATCTGGGGTCCCCATCCCCAGACCTTGGCCTCTCAGACACAGGCCTACCACAGTGGCCTGTATCTGCCATTTGCCCATCTGCTATTCCCACCGGCTCCTGGAGGACCCCTTTGGGATGAAGTTGGAGGTGGAGGCTGGTGGGGGACACTCACGGAACATGGTCTCCAGCCGCACCAGGCAGCACACGAAGTTGTCGAAGTCGACCGCCAGGTCGGGCTCTGAGTAGCGGGTGATGATGAGCTCGTATAGCTTCTTGTTGAGCTTGAAGCCTGGTCCAAGAGGGAAGGGAGGGTCAGGGAGCTGCAGCTGTCCCGGGGGGACAGGGAAGAGGGGCTGGGGCTAGGCTTGGAGGCATCTCTTCTCTGGAGGAAGTAGCATGAAGACCCCCCAGGCAGCGCTGGAGCTGAGATAGCTGGACAAACACATGCTAGTCGCAGTGGGAGCACCAGGGCCCAGGTCAAGCCAGGAATCAGGAGCTGGCCAGAGGCCATAGGGTCTGGTTTAGCTGGTTCTGAATGTCTGGGCCTTTTTCTTTACTTTTTTTTTCTTTTTTTTTTTTTTGAGAGAGATTTTTTTGCTATAGGGCATGTGTGGTTGCTGGAGAGACAGAGAGATAGAAAGCAAGAAATCACCCCCCAGGAGGATGGTCATGCCACAATCCCTTCTCCATTTTCTTCCCAGGACTTTGGGCATGAGTTTTAAGTTGTCAGGTCCGGGACTCAAACAGGGGTTTACTACGTGGGAGTCCCGTGACATAACCATTACGCCATCTGCTGGTCCCACTTGTTCTTAAATGGGCTGGCATAGGTAAGCTCTGTATCTCTCTCACTGGACGCTCTCTGCAGCCTTCCTGGCCAGGTGGCCTGAGATCAGACACTCTCCCTCTCTGAGCCTCATCTGTCTCATGGGCTCGGTGAGGATAACAACAGGCCCTGTTCTCATCAGGCTGCGGTGAGGAGGAAAAGAAAGAATGCTAGTAAAGCACTTATCTCAGTAGCCCTGAGAGTAAGGCAAAAGTGGCTGTCACCCGTCACCACTGTTACCATCACCCCAGTGGCCAGGGCCAGTGCAGGGAGCAGCTGTTACGGGAGCTGAGCGGGGCTGTCTGTCCCAGCCCCACGATGCCGTTAGCTTTTGGGCCTCACCTGCAGACTCGATGGCCATCCGCATCTCATAGGCACTCATGCTACCCGACTTGTCCAGGTCAAACTTCCGGAAGATAGCCTGGTGGGAGCAGAGGGCAAGGGACAAGCTGAGTGACCCAGCTCTTCCTGCCTGCCCAGGGTTGCTGAGGGAGGAGGGGAGAGTTCTGGAAGGTGGGTCAGTGGCTGGCACATGGGCTCAGGGGTGAAGGAGGGACATCTAGAGAGGCAGACCCACAATCAGCCTAGGGGCCTGCTGCCCAGCCTGGCCTTCTGCTGCAGGACTAAGGCCGCAGGGGGAAAGGAGGGCCCGGCGGCGGGACCACCCACCAGATAGTTCCGGATGCGGTTCCACAGGATGTTGAATTCCACCAGGCCCAGCTTCCCATTGCCATCACGCTGGACAGAGGTGAAGGAAACGCCACTGCTTAGAGCTGGCAGGTGAGTGGGCAACTGGGCAGAAGGGGACCCAGACTGGCCACAGAGCGAACAGGACAACTTGGAAGGGAGTGGTGGGGAGAAGCAGCAAAGTGTGGGCAGCCCACAACCAGGCTTGCCTCATTCTCTGACTTGGGGTGCAGTGGAGTGGGCTGGGGAGGGGTGCAGAAACAGCACCAGCCTTAAGGTAGTGGGGGGACCCAGGCCTTCCTCCACCTTTCACCTGGCACAAGGCCCGTGCCTCAGTTTCTCTCTCTCAATCAGTGGAAAGATACCCAAGAAGACATCTGAACATGGGGCACGAGGTATCCACACTCTGCCCAGCTTTGTCACATTCTCTGTGTAGTTCCTGGGACGACCAACGCCTTTCTCATGCCTGCAATTCCTGACCCAGACACCACCCCGGAGACAAGCAGGCTAAAGGATACGTCCATGAGGTTCACCATGCTGCGGCACGACTCCAGGCTGAAGCCCTTGGTCCGCAGGTCTTTGTCTATAAGAAACATCAGTTACAACACCTCACCCCAGGACTGGCCCCGTGTGGGGAGCACTGGGTGGGACAGAGTCAGGAAGGCACAGTTCTCGCCCCTGGCTGTAAAATCTGAGGGTAAGTGGGTAACATTGTTTTATTACTAGGAAATGCAGTTTCAAGTATTTTAGCAACCAAGCTGGTATCCAACTGCCATGGCAGCACCCAGCCATACTAAATGGAAGTGCAAGAAATCCAGCAGAAAGGAGCAGGGCGGGCTCTGCTGCAGGCTGTGCAGGGTAAGCAGGCTTCACTAGGGGAGCAGACAGGGCTGGGGCGGGGGGCGTGTGGCTGGAGGTCGGGGCAACAGCTGCCCAGACAGTTCAGGGCAAGAGGAGTCACCCCGAGGCCACGGCTGCAGGGAAAGGGAGCGTTAGGGAGGCAGAGGCCCGCAGTCCTGTGCACTGACAAGTGAAGCCAGTCATGTTCTGCTCCCTGAACCACATGGCCTCACCCAAGGCTGTGCTGGTCTTTGCCAAGAATCTGCAGGGCTGTGCAGGCATGGAGCTCAGCACAGGGCAACAAGGGCACGGCAGGACGACTTGAGGAGTTTGGAATAAAAATGGCGGTGAGCTGGGACCAGAAAGGCCATGGAGGGTTTCCCCACCCACGCAGACCAAGGGGTGGGACTGGGCTCTCTGGGCAAGCAGAAGCTGGACTCTGACACTTGTAGAGATGGCGAGCAGGACCCAGGAGACAGCCACTCGGGGACTCACGTTTGCTAATGATCCTGTTGAGGATGGTCTGCAGCTCCCTGACACTGATCTCCATGTCCTGGGGAAAGAGGGAGGATGGCACCCACCCTGGGGAAGGGCTGCCCCTCGGTGCCCCCTACTCTGCCCCACCAGCAACTTCCAACCTACCTCCCCTGCCAGTTGCCTGAAGAGGGCCTTGAAGTTCTCGTCAATCTCTTCTTCTGAGAGCACTTTCTAGGCCGGGAAAGGGAAGAGCAGGTAAGGGGTGTCCCAGCCCTGCCCACGAGCACAGCAGCAGAGGCAGGTGTGGGACTTCTCTTTTGCAACAGGCCACGTCACCTCTCTGAGCCTCACTCTTTTAACCTGTCCAATGGGGATCTAGTCCCTGCTCCTGCCCAGGACTCCTGTGGTCTGAGTAAGGAGAACGCAATTCGCTCAGTGATGGTGAGGGTTTGGATCCTTGCTGTGGGAGGCACTGGACAGCTCCTGAGCTTCTCTGAACCTGAGTCCCCCTCAGGGGAGAGTCTGTGGCAGGACGTGGACAGGGTTGTTGTGGAGAGGGAATGAGACAGCAAGTGCTCTGCAGGGTCTGGCGCCGAGAGCTCAGGGACCGTGCGGCACCGTCATCACAGGTCCTCTGCAGTGCTGGGCAAACGAGGGATTGCATTTCTATTCTGGATCCTGTCAGGAGAGGATCTGCCCTGTCAGCCAGCGCCCAGGGGACAGGACACTCAGATCCCAGGGGTGAGGGAGAGCAGATGGTGCCTGGAGGGAGGACACACACCTCGTCTGGGAGATTGGCCTGGACCTGGTCATCCAGTTCCCTGCAGAGAATGAGAGAAAGAGGTGCTTGTCAGAGAGAGAGAAGAGGAGGGCTGATGGGAGAAGGCAGGAGGGGATGAGGGGACAGAGAGCAGGGGTGGAGGTGGCCAGTTGGTGACTCACTGGGTCCCCGCGCTCTTCTCCGAGAAGAAACGCAGCACAAAGTCGCCCTCCTTGTTGGGCTCGAAGGTGGAGGGTACCACCACGTACTCCCCAGGCGGCAGGCGGAAGCGGGTGCTGACCTCTCGCAGGTTGATGAACTGCTCTGAGCGCGCCCGAGATGCGTTGGCCAGGAAGAAGTCACGCTTCAAGTGCACGGCCGGCTGGCCCACCAGCTGGGGGGAGGGAGGAGG